GGGTGTTTTTTTCCTTTAATTATTTTTTGGATGATCCTCGCAAATCGCCAGTACGTAAATTCCACCTTACCATTATCAGTTGGAAAATTTTCATTATAAATATTCTTACCTTCGGGTCATAGACAGAAATCCGAGCACGTTCTTCGAGAAGATGGCTGATGATATGAATAGCTGACGAATCCCTAAGAAATTTCATCTTTCTCAACTTCCCCATACATCATCAGGTCTAAGTTACCGAGTATCTCCAGTATTCTTCTTGAAAGCAAATCCAAAAACCGCAATCTTCTTGTCGGTTACGGTATTGAACAACTCAGCGATGATCTTGTCAGAGAAACGGCGACGTTGCCACTGATTGATGTCTATTACCTAAACCATATCATGTTCATATTTATGGGTTTCCAATAAAAATCATATCTGTAGCTCTTTACCCCCATCCAGTAATCAGCTACTTTACGTAAGTTCAAGGATTCGCACAGATAAACCAGTGATAAGACATCTTTCTGGAAGCAACTTCCACCAAATCCTGGAATTCACAACTTTTCAATCTATTTACTATTTAGTTAGTGTTTTAATTTAGTTCTTCGAAATTCATTCAGCCGAACACCAAGTTCATATGTCATTTGTTCCCTCACAAAATAAATGAAAGGATGTATTCGGCAGGCTCAAGCTCGAGGAATGTCATTTTGACCCTTTAAGGCTTGATGTACAGTCAATTATATTTTACTCTGAATATTTCATTAACTCCAAAAAACCCTTAACTTTTCAAAAATTTTCAAATAAAGAAGGAAGATTTGTGATGTTTGCTACCTTTGGATGTTCCTTCACCCATCAGCTTTAACGGATTTCTTTGCCATAAAGTAATTTTCGTTACTATCTTTATGGTAAATGCGTAAAATCAGCGTGTAAATTTATCTACGATGCTCACTCATAGCACCCATTTTTTGTGATATAGGAACAATTGTGTACTTCACTGTCAGAAAATTAGATTTGCTTAAAACGATTTTCCTCTAATTTATCAACTTTTTGAGCATTAGAATTATTCTAATTTTCAAGAAGCAAATTGATACTGAAAAAATATGTTAGTAAGAGCAAATGTTTCTTCCATGCATTTTTCCTCCGGCATAG